ACACAACTAGTTTGAGATAAAGAACATGTTTTTAAAAAACGTGCCTATTATCATGTCAGCTGTATTTGGTAACAAATGTGTTACCAAATAGAGCTCTAAAATGTATAGAGGTTCAATGGAACAAAAACCTATTACTTCAGAACCTCTCTTATATAGTTCGTTTAATACAGATATTGATATTTTATATGGAACTAAGTAAACCGTTGAAAATTACGCAATATCGTCGCTTAATATATCGATTGTACCATTACGTTCCATTTATTCTAAATTTGATGTCAAAGGGACAGAAATTAAAACAATAACGATCTAACAACAAATACCATTTAATTGGTTATACAGTTTCTTACATATAGCAACAATCATAGTAGGATATAATTTGGCTAATTTCTCCAATAAGACGATCGAAAAGTGAACGTTGGGTATATCGCTTCTAAACACTAAATTCTCAAAATGCTAAATATCTAGACATTAGAATACTTTAAAACGAACAACAGAAAACATCGTTAAGTAGATACTTAAAACTAACAGCGCGGCGACAGACCAAGGTCTTTGCAGACCACTTGCTTATTAAACGATGTAAATGTATAGCGGTATATTATATAATCATATCTTTATCCACAAAATATTTCTGAAAAATCATGGAAGACATTGGTTACTTTTTGACTGACATTGAAAATATATTTTCCACGCCAACATGTACCCGTACCTACTACGTTAAGACGTTCAATGGAAGCACTAGTTTCATGATTTGCTAAACTACATACACGTAACTGTCTCTTGGAGACCATTTACATTTTTTTCTGTTAAAATCAAATCCTCATTAGATGGCAAAAAAATGGTCATACAATTAGCATTTTGTAAATAATTCACATGGATGACTTGTGAAAAATATGAAGACAGAGCCATCTAGTGGGCATTTAATATAAGTACTTAATATAAAAATAGAATACCATGAGCCTCGTACCAGCAATCACCACTCGCATATATCACAAGCACCCAACCACTACTTATTTACATTTAGTTCTGAATAATTTGACAGACAGTTTTCGTTTGATTTTTCCAAATAAATATACTTCGCTATTCTGTAACAGCTAACTGCCGCTAGATGGCAGTGACAAAATATAATCGTTAACCAATCTAATTTTTGCAGTATATCACTAAAAATGATAACATACATATCTCTCAACAATCCTGATAATCATTAACTCTATTTTTAATAATTTCGTACGATGATGTTTACATCTTTCTTTTCATAAATTTTGATTAAATCTTAACACTTACTACCAAGTTTATTATAATTTACTCGTTATTCGTATAAGCATTTCCACCGTGCACGTATTAATGGACGTATAGGAGACAGAATACGCTATTGTATATGGCAGAAGCAAAAGTGATTCCTTCAACTATTTAACGTCACATGTACCCACCCAGTGCGAGCGAGACAACACACCCATTAGGTAGGTATAGCTTGAAAACACGATTTCTGTGTAGGATAAACATAATTTTTAACATAAATTAATAACTGTCTTCCTGCCGGATCCCTTTCAGAGTAGGCAGAGAGTATCCAATATCTCTAATATAAATAACACCCAATTCACTATATTTTCAGAGGACATTATAAATTTTCGGTAATTGTGAAAAAAATTAGGCTAATTACAAATAAAGCACTACAACACGATCACAACACCACTTATAATATCATCGTTATTTTATTTATAACATTATTTATCTATTCTATTTTCTGCTATTGTCATTGTCACATAAGCTTATTAATATACATCTTCCCTTACTTTACTAATTATAAGCTTATTTTATTTTAATTAATTATGTTAATATAACATATTCATTAATTAATAGTGTAATTATATCAATCAAAATTTTCATATAAACATTATTGATGACGAATAAATTATGTAACCTTTACAACATTTCTTACATAAATATAAAATAAACAGTCTTTATGTCGACAAAACAGTGAAGGAGGAAATATTAAAATAAATATTAGTTCCTCAAATCAAACTAGATGTCGCTACTGTACTTTCTTGATTCCTCCATGACAACACTTCCGGTTTTCTTTCATGTATAAAAGTAAATTAGTTTTCAAAACTCAATAAACAACTCATATTCTATTTGGATTTTTCGTTATTTGTATTGATATCTAAGTTTCGAACTTTGCAAATTTCAGTTTTTTAATATGTTAGATAAAAGGAACGGAAATGACTATCTTTAGTCCATTCGTTTCCTGCAAAAATGAACTTTTGCTAAGGTCGCCATCTAGTGGAGGTGCTTTTTTGTGCTTTCTTTTTTTTTTAATACTTCCTCATTGTAAACATTACATACATATATAGATAACGTGCATAATTATTTATTGCGTATAATACACAATACTTGTTATATTCATATTTCCCTATAATAATGATAGCAAAGGAGCTTATTTATTTTATTTATGTAGGAAAAAGTATTTTTTATACAAAAACCAATTGAGGTACAGTCGAATAATATATCTACATATTATATTTTTAATACAGCGTTGCAAATCTATTGGTTAGTATGGATGCACTTCAGTACAGTTAATTTATATTTAATCAAATAATTGTATTTAGGTGTTTAATACTGTAATTCAATAGTATATTTATCTATCGCGCATTTTAGTATTACAGCAGTTTACGTATGCACCAGAACTGATATTGTGTGTTAACGCCAGATATTAGCATCCTCAACTTTTCTCGCCACAATTGGCGGGGTTAATATATTTATTTGTTTTATTTCTCTTGTTGATAATTTACCGTGTTATAACCACAATAAGATAATGAAAAATAGACAAGTGGCATAAACTACCAGTTACTACCAATGTAAATGGTATACTTGGTAAAGATTTGGACAACTCATACAGACCAAAGAGAAATTTATTAGCAAATTTAACATGGTGATTGACAACTTATTTAAGCAAAAAGAAATTGCTACCGACAATAAGAAATCCACCAGCAAATGTTCTTAACAAATGTGTTAATGTAACTTGAATAAAGTATTATTTTTAAATCCATTTGCATTAAGATCGAGTCAAAGTTCAATGTCGAGCCAAGTGTCCATGGACTGGTACTTTTCTTTAAAAATAAAGTATACTACAATCTGAAAGCAAACGAGCCTTCTAATTTCAAAACTTAGAAGTCTTTAATTGGCAAAACGGGAGATATGTGTCGTATATTAAATATTTGATATAATCTAATTCATTATTATATAATTTCCTTAATTATATTATATTATATTATATTTCTAAATATATTTAAATGCCTTCAAAAGTATATTTTTCATACTGCTTATTGAATATTGCTAAAAGCAACTTATAAAATGAAGTTTAATGTTTGATTAAAAATGAAATACTCATAATATGTTACTCAATACTTCCAAAATAATAATTTATAAAATTTTGGTAGACTTTTTAAGTCTTCCCAACGAGTAACAGTGTACACGTTTGAGTGTAACTTGTCGAATTACATGTGAAAATTATCTTTTGTACTTGAGAAATACTAAACGCTAAAATGATTCATTTATTAACATATATATAAAAAGCAAATCTGAATGACTTATATCAACGTACAGCTGAAGCTTCTGTACCTAGAAACTTGAAATTTGGTTCAGGGTATCCTTTCATGGTGTAAACGAGCACTAAAAAGGGATTTTTAGGAATTCAATCCTTAAAGGGGTAAAATAGGCGGGTAAAGTTTATATGGATCACGTAGGCGAAAGCGCTGACGGAAAGCTAGTTTCGTATAAATAGACACCAATCTAAAATTCCTCTACAATATTACTTAGCTTTTAAAAACTCGACAGATGGCGTTATAGTTTTTCTTATTTAAATAACTAAAAAGTTTTTTATGATGCCGTTTATTTTAATAATACAATTGTATTCCTTCTCTTCATATTTTTGGTGGATTGAGTTTTCTTTTTATTAAAACCCTAAACTTTTTTTATTAAAACGCCGTCTATCTAGCTTTCTTCTTTACATTAACTATTTTAAATAGGTATCAGACATTTTATAACTTCATCTTAGTTAAACTAAGAAAATATATTTTCAGTGTCATAATGGAAAGTCTTTACAAATACAAGATATCCTACATTTTACGTTATTTATGTATTATAGACGGCATTTTATATATTAACTCTTCGATAATTATGGGAAAATATATTAAGTATACATTATATACTACATTTTAAAACTTAAATATAAATAGCATAAATATTTGCCTGCATAAATATATATCTAATCGTTGCTTTAATAGATTCAACATATTATATTACATCTAATTCCATTCATTACAAACACCCGCCATAAACATTTCTGTGATAGGTATACAAATACTCTCATACGATGAATTTGAAATAAGCCAAAAGCCTGCAAACAATAAAAAGCATGGAATAACCACCCAACTCCTTCCAAATTTATTAATGTCTCGAAATATGTTCTTTGCATATTATCAAGTTTTATATTTCAAAGGTGTGGAAAGAAGGTTATATATTAAATTTGATAAGGTATGTCTGCCGTACGCGTATATAAAATTCTACCATTTAATAAATTTAAACGTCGACATGTTGGAGAGGACTAGTATAGCGCGATTTACTTTAAAATTCAGCCGAATTTAATCAAAAATGAAATACTGAATCTCTCATCTCCCATAAAAGTAAGTTTGTATAACACTTAATGTACGGAAAAAATAGGAAAAAGGGATGATAAGACCTTCTGATTATTTTTATATACTTGTCAGTACTTAAATACATTTTAATATTCTTTTGTTATCAGTCAAAATAACGAGTGATAAAATTGTATTTATTTAAAAATTTTCAACGATTTTAAATTAAATATTCAATAAATATTTTAATAAAAAAATGATTTATTATTTGAATTCATCGATAGTACGTAATATCTTCTTTACACAATTATAAAAAAGAAATGTTTCGATTCGCGCTACAAGCGTCCTCGTAGTGATGGAATGGGAGCATATTTAATCGACTATGATGTCTTGTCCGAGTCGGTCCATCTCGGCGAGTAAGAAGTCCACATCCTTCTCAGTGACAGCGGCGGACGAGATGATGTTTCGGAAGTAGTTAGGGTGACGATCGTCCGGCTGGTAGCCCACCATGATGGTACCCGCTTGCATCATTTTACCCTTCAATTTGGCGCAAACCTAGACAAAAGATATTCGAAATAAACAAAATAAACATGAGCCATTTGCACAGTGACATCTAACTCATCGTGCTGTTGTCGCCACAACAATTACATGAAGATTACAAGATAGCGTTACGCTACTTATATAGCACTTACAAAGTTCTTACGGTAACTTTACATATACGAGTATATGTACGAACACCTCCATTTTACACATAGTAGTTGTATTTAGGTATCACGTTATTATAGGTACCTGGGGACTTGTACCCACCCTCTACGAGATGGCGTTACTAAAGCCAGAGTCACATCTTGTTTCTTTAAATGGTTCTTTCTAGTTATGACGAAACTTCTCAAGGTCGAGAGCCCTCGTTGACTCTACGGCGTAGTGGGGACTCTTACGGGGAAACGCCGTTAGGATAAAGACAGGTCTCCGACCTATCAAGGGATGACTGGTGGTACTTATGTGGTTTGAAGATCTCTAATAATTGCGCTGTCTCAAAAATATCTCGCTGTCTCAATCCCGATTACGTTAAAGATCATCTGCGACTACACACTTAATACGTCAGTTACACCGCAGTCCCCGGGCTAACGACACCATCCTGGAGGTTTCCTTTTTGTCCTATAGTGTGACCGTAGTTGTGTAAGATTATTTAAAATCTACACAAGAACGTTGATTTCAATAGATGATGCTAAAAACAGGAACAGATCCAAGTATGGAAAGTTAAAATTATTATTCTCATAATAATATAAATCAATAATAATAAATTTGTTATAATCTTCTATAAAATTAGCAACGCACGTATTGTAACGACTGGTTATGCTGCTACGATATTTTGCCATGCTGCTACGATGTAACGGCTACGACTATATTTACATTTCAGCAACCTGTGTCACTACACTACTTAAATAGATTTACTCGTAATACTAATGGACAAACATTAAATTTATTTCAGTAATTTTTTTTTTAAGATTTATATCGTATTTATTACAACTTTTAGATCTAACTAGTAGTGTGTAGGTGTTATTGAATTGGAATTCTTCAGGGTAAGGCCTGTATGAACTTCTCGAAGAAATAAAATAGAGGTGATAAAGCAGCCCTTGCCGAGTTTCTTGCCGGTTCTCAGTACAAGGTCTCGCGCCGTAGATTTACGAACTATGGCGTAATTTTCGACGTTCACGAGTGCTTGTAACAGCGTATACTGAATAAATAATAATGAATTTGAAATTTGAATTTGTTATTAGTAAGACAGACTGGGCGGGCTGTGTAGAGATTGGTTGTAGTAATAATGATAATGTTTGTTACCTTGCCGAGCTTGAGTTCCTTATGCTTGTCGTGTGGGATGCCGCGCAGCTGCCGCGGCAAGTACCAGAAGCTGACGTTTACCATCTCCGGCTCCAGCAGCAGGTGGAACTTGTCCGGCTGCTCGCGGATGCGCCGCACCATGTACTCCGACAGCTCCATCAGTCGGTCCATCAGCCGCTCGAACCCAGACGTACCCTGAATATACAAACATAGCCTTAGCAGTACTAGTCAAAGTACTCATCAGCCTATTAATGGGGGACATAATAGGCCGATGAATACTTGCTTTCCTTATAAATGAAATTAACGAGAATGGGCCATAACCTACAAGTCCCAGTGCGGATTGGCGGTTGTTAACGACTGCAGTCGCATCCGAGACCAATGGTTTAACGTGCCTTCCGAAGCACGGATGAACTTGAGATAATACGTTTTTGGTCACCCATCCTATACCGATCCCTGTCAAAGGCTCTTATTATTGATAGAGAGTTTTAACTACCAATAAAACTTACCTATTATTTTTCCTAAAGATATCCGGAATCCATCTTGAGTCAAGCATCATCCTTTTTGTGACGTTTCCGGTCCAAAACACTACCTCCCTTCTTACTTCCGGCGCCTGTGCTGCCATCTAGTTTGCGGGTAGCGAACCAATGACTTTTAGGCACGAACGCTTACCGTCATTATACCTACTCTAGATGCACCAGGTAGAACTTACCTGGATTCCGGATATCTTTAGGAAAAATAATAGGTAAGTTTTATTGGTAGTTAAAACTCTCTATTATTTGTTCCGTTCGATATCCGGAATCCATCTTGAGTGATGTGTTTGTTATCTCCTGGTGAGTGCCATTGGTGACGCTATAATGTGTTGCAGGTATAAAAAGTCAAATGTAGTCTGATGAGAAAAAATAATGCATATTATAAGTATATTATGCTATTACACACATAGTACATATATTATGCTGTTACATAACAATGCAATTATAATAATTATTCAAGTATTTCGGTAATCTAAGCTAAATAAATATTGGCTTATCTGTTATCGGTCAATATCATTAATTAAGAATAATAAAAATGTAAATACATAGATATCGGAATTTTCTTGATTGTCCGATATATCAGTTTTCGATAGGACTTCTTAAAAGTATGTTCTTGGCGCCAGTTCACAGTTTCAGTAATTTATCCATCGGAAACAGTTCCAGTCAATTTAGAGATGGAACTTCAGATGTAATAGACCCTGAAGAATCTTCTACATTATGTGCTTCTATTTAGCATTTTTGAGAACAGAGTAGTTAACTCGTGAAAATTACTTCTTTTTGGGGCTCTTTCAATACAAAAATTGATCGCGTGTCCAATACATGCAATCGAATGATTTGTGTCAGTTAATCATTTCTATCCAGGCTGTCATAATTACTATTATCTGTTTTTAATACAAAATGGGGCCATAAAACAAAAAATCATTTTCGTCCCTGTACTTCAAAGGTTAAAAGGGTTAAATAATGGATTCTGCGACCTTGAAGATTGTGAAATTATGCTAAATTTCCAGCAACTTAAATAGATTCAATTCTGCCAATCTACGTAAAATTTCCATTGTACTATATACCTGAAGTCTAATATTATTAGTGCAATGTCTTCCTAACAATTCAATATTGACAGATATATTTATTATTTTATGATCTAGTAACAAGAATGTGTCATAGAGGGTTGTAGTCGAGCTATTGACCCTCCACCATTACGCCGACATTAGCAGAATTTCCCTACCGGGCACTTGTTATTTGCAGAATTAATACTAGTAGATATTTATAGTCGCTTTACATTAAATCGATAGTTTCAAGATTTTCTTTATTTTATTTTATTCTGTCCGATTTTTAAATAAATTTTCTGAATTTCGAGGGATGAACACCTGTTGCCATACCTATTGCAGTATTTGCGGAAACAAATCGTCAGTCAAGACACTTTCATAATGTACTTACAATCATAATGTACTTACTTGCCTTGACGCTTACTGGAGTCGAGAACGTATTTGCGGAATCATGTTTGAATAAGGCCAGTTGCATTTGCACTGATGACGTCATGCGTTATGACCTATTAGCTTGCTCGTCCGTCACATCCATTGTCATGAACCTGGGAATGACGTGTGCTTTTGTCGATGGAATAAGTTCACATCTGGTGTACATTGGGCTGCTAAATTTAGTATTCAGGCTATGCATAATTTCTGAATCTGCCTTGTTCGTGTCATAATTACAATAATTTCCTAGATTTGGTTCCCCATCTTTGTTTATGTACGGGAATCGGTACAGTTCTCTTAGCATTTACATCTAGGCATTCCGCGAAATGAAGACTCGCGTGAGTAATTGCCTCGAGTTGAGCACTCGAACAGATTTCCTATGCACCTGTCCTCGGATGTTGAGCGATTTGCGTTGCATTTATAGGAAGGTATCATGATACAACATTTACTTACCATTTTAAGTCATTCAGTACTGGGTCTGGTAATCCGAATAGGTAGTAATAGTTTTAAGCTGTCAATGTTAGTATTGCAGTGTGCGACAGTGTTATCACCCTGTTCGAATCACAAACGAGGCAAAGTCGAGTCTCACCATTAGGAACTGGGCCTGTCTGAGGGACTAACCGCTTTGTACAATCTGATGCTGAAGCGCCATGCGTAGCGTGAAGCGTTCGGTTCAAACAGGGACTTCACTCAATGTTCAGTACTGATTCTGGTAGTTTGATTCGGTGGTAATGGTGATCTTTGGGCAACTGTCGATGGTAGTATTGCAGTGTGCGATAGTGTAGTCACCCTCTTCGAATCACAAACGAGGCAAAGTCGAGTCTCCTCATAAGGAACTGGGCCTGTCTGAGGGACTAACCGCCTTGTACAATCTGATGCTGAAATGCCATGCGTAGCGTGAAGCGTTCGATTCAAACAGTGACTTCGCTGAATGTTCTGTACTGAGTCTGGTAGTTTGATTCGGTGGTAATGGTGATCTTTGGGCAACTGTCGATGGTAGTATTGCTGTGTGCGACAGTGTAATCACCCTCTTCGAATCACAAACGAGGCAAAGTCGAGTCTCCCCATTAGGAACTGGGCCTGTCTGAGGGACTAACCGCCACGTGTAGTCGCCTCGTGCTGAAGTGCCATGCGTAGCGTAAGGCACTTCGGTTCCGACAGGGACTTACCCCTGACTTCCCCGGCACTTCCCGGCACCTCGCGACCGTGTTGGTCACGATGCACCAGGCAACGCCGAGGAAGCTCAGAACCAGCACACACTGCTCGAAGTTGAGAGACCACCCTAAGCGTTGCTATTGTGGTAGCGCAGTTGTTGTGTTGGTCTAGGCAGCAAAGTTTTTGAGTACCGATGGCAGTCCAAAGAGACACGTCAATTGCATTAGGTAGGTTGTTGTATGCCAGTCTCAAGAACCTGTGAACCAGATGTTGTTCGGCGATACTCAAATGAAAATACTTTTGGCTCGGATATATTTTCGTAAACCATTCGTTTTGTATGAGAATGTTCGGAATACGAAAATTATTGATCAGTCGAAAAGGTTTTATTTTGACAAATCAGTGTCATTTTAAATGAAATTGTCGGGCTTTAACATTAGAAGAGGAAATGATACAAAACAGGGTGTTTTTTGTAATCTCCAGTATATTAATTTGAGCATTGCAAACGATATTTGAAGATGGCTTAAAATCCCACGCATAAAAATATAATTTTTATACCATCACATACCTACATAGTTTAGATACCAAATGATATAGTTAAACACATGTATTATGGTAATCTGAAACAACAAAGGTAACAACACCCAGACCAGAGATAATATAGAAAAGCTCATTATCTGCATTAACATGACCGAGAGTGGAATGCGGGAGCTTAGAAATGGTGACACCTTGGAACTGGTGAGCCACTCGCTCAAGATTCGACATATGCAATCTGGAACATCCTGATTGTTCCATAAACTTACAGATCGCATTAGATAGCTCCCTCCATTGTGTCATGTCATGCATTGTATTTATTTCTAAAGTTTAATGAACTAGTCTCATTACCATTTAAATATTGGTGTGTACTTCTGGTAATCTACCTTGAATCAACTTGCAGTTGCAACCATTTTATGCACCCTCTTGTTTTTTGGGTGCAATATACTATTATCAAAGAAAAACTTGTTCGTTCTTCCTATCAGCCAAAAGACGTCCTGAATGAGTGGTGGGGATAAATGTTGGACGATTCAAAAGAGCAGCTATTTGAATAAATATTATTTTGACTTTGACTTTGAACTCTGAATTTGGCAAAAATTTCTGTAAAGGCACCTCAGAAAACTTCGCCACGGCTCTGAACACATCAGTGCGTCTGCCACTTAATATTTGGAAAATATAATCCTTGTTGAATGTTGATTAGATTTTATCAAAAAGCTCTTTAGCAATAGATCAATCTACAATTTGTTGTAAACTAGTTCTAAACTAATTGACTCATACTTTAATTCTGTTAAGGTATTTGTTAATGCTGTAGATTGTACCATTTCTATAAAATATAACTATTATGACTTCTATTCTCGCAAATAAAGATCTTATCTTAAATCATCAAATTGTTGTAGCAGAAACAAATCGCCTCAACTTATAATTTAATTTGAGCATGTTTCATCTAATTTGGTTTCACCATAGACTGGGTCTTTAACGTTATTAAGAAAAAAAAAAAAATCCTATTTGAACTTGTGTTGATTGTTTTACTATAGTAGGTACATAAAGAAAATTATCACCAGTCTTAACCGCTGCAAGTAGGAACTGTTCAGGACCGTGGGGTCGTAGGGAACGTGATGGTGGCTGTGGTTGCCATAATTGCGGTCCTGGTATGGATACTTTGTGCTATTTTGTTATGGAAAAATGCACATGTGGATTTAGTTTTCATGCATTATCAAAAAATGTCACTGGTTGGGGTAACAAATCGAATGCAAATCACTTACAGTTTTTCTCGCCTCTATACCTTACTTGCTCTCTCCGAGCTGGAATCCAACGACACTGTTCGATGAGCTCGAAGACAATAAACACGCCTGCTTCAATGCTGTTTTCTTTGTTTATTTCGCTGTCCCGTTACTCCATCGTGAAGGGAGGTTAATTTTATATTCATTTCATTTTAATTTTAACACTAAACTATATAATAATAAGTATAATTTGTGCACATTTTATGTAGGACCGATGTTTTCGCCACGAAAAACGACGCTATAATGACGGTAAGCGTTCGTGCCTAAAAGTCATTGATTCGCTACCCGCAAACTAGATGGCAGCACAGGCGCCGGAAGTAAGAAGGGAGGTAGTGTTTTGGACCGGAAACGTCACAAAAAGGATGATGCTTGACTCAAGATGGATTCCGGATATCGAACGGAACAAATAATGTTAAGTTATGTTAACGCCGTTACTTCTATTAAGAGTTTGTAAATTATATAATAAGAAATAACCTTAACGAATACCTATAAGTAGCTCGGTGGCGTAGAGGATAAGCGCCACGGATCGCGATCGTTGTTGTTAAGCAACTTTCGCAATGTTCGGTCACGGGGGATGGGTGACCAAAAAATTATTATCTCATCTCCTCCTTAACCATCCATAAGGAATGCCTGAGCCCCTGCAGTGGGGACGTGAAAGGGTTGATGATGATGAATACCCATAAGTAGGCAGGCAAACTTAGGTTGGACAATTCAAAAGTTAGTTATTTTATTTTATTGAAAAAGAACATAAATATTGAGTTTTACTTTGGTTAAAAATTTAGATGACACTTATTTTAAAAATGTTTTATCAGCACTTGACATCATATTGATTAGAATGCTTACAATGTGAAAAACGTATACATTTAATATACTTAAATGTTTTTTTTTAGATAACGATGACTCAATTCATTTAGATTAAATTTTACGGCGTAGGATTTCGTATGCCCCTACTTAGCTATCGATCGGGCCGCATAATACTTAAAAACATAGATGTTGATTCTATAACAACTTCTCTTTGGCATTCTACCTATCTTGAAATTATGTAGAAGTGTCTCTTCAAATAGGTTTAATATCGGCCTCAGTTTTTTTCTTTTTAACCTTGTTGCACAGTTACACATACGTTGATTAAGGTCGAGTAAAGTTATGAATTTGAAAAGTATCGGTAACGTTGTTTTAAACGAATCACAATTTAAATGGTACATTGTATGATCTTCTTTCGTCTCTACCTGCTGTAGTTATCTGCAGCACATGTCTAGATGGCATCTTTTGGACACCACAGTGTACACAATCTATGCTTGTCTATTGTGTAATAGTGAGTGGTAAATAAATTATTATTTTTTCTCATTAGGGTTCCGTATCTAAAGGGTACCTATTTCTAAGACTCTGCTGTCCGTTTTGTTTGTTGAAGTTTTCAAAGATAATTTCTGTCGCCGCTATAGCAAGAAATAGTAAAAAAACAGAATAAAATAAAGTTAAGGGGGCTGTCATGCGATAAACGTGTGTTTTTGTAGATAAATGTATGAAAGCCTTCGTGCGCGAGTCCGACTCGACTTGGCTAATTTTTTTCTATAATTCTGTCAAGTATAGGTAATTTACCTTCCCGCGCCACTGCAGCCACAGTTTGAAGATATCGTTGTGTCTTCCACACTGGATCACCTTGTCGCCGGTATCGTACCGGGGATCGTAGATCTTGTCAGTCATAAACAAGTATTCAGCGGACATCGCGTTGCAACTCAAGAGGATACCCTGGAAGAGGAAACACTGTTATATGGTGTCTATTACATACACTAAGCAAAGAATCAAGTACTTCAAATAAAATTTAATTATAAATTTTATCGACATCGTGAACATTGTTGTAAAACTATATAAATAGTATTTTTCTTGGGCTTGCCGGATTGCGGAAAAGAGGGATTTGATCTCACACACGGAGTTATCTAGGTTGGTGTATACTTTTTGGAAAATGTTGAAAATCTATTCAGTCGCGGAATGTCAGAATAAAACAGACGAATTGCATTCGACCTTGCACGCTCAACGGATTTTCCGTCGAGCATTAATGCATAGTTCCGTCAGATTTATTTATGTTGGTCCTAGGTTCAAAAAGCCAAAGAAATCAAATTTAAGAATCGTTTGTATAAAAATATCATGGATATACTTTGCTATTTGGTTATGAACCTACGCACCAGGTTGACAAAACCTGACGGAACCATCAGAATTCTATTGTAAGTGACATTAGAGGTGACATTATGTTGCCTGTCATTCATTTGCATGCTGTAAAGAAAATTGGCTATCAGGCTTAAAAAATAACAGGTTAGATAAACAGATAACAAGTGTATTTCCTATCATAACACAACACAATTATATGACGTACTATAAATTTATAAAAAGAAAAACAAAAAGAACAAGATACAGAAATGTACCTGTGTACATCAGTTATATAAAGGGTCTAAGAAAGCGACTAGTTTCGATTCTGTTCTTTTCTATAACAAAATGTATCTCTACCTTGCAGCTAAATTTATTGTAGTATCACTTTTTTGTGACGTTACATCTGTAAGCACATTCCTACAGTCCGGCCCGCATGCCTTTGAAATACCAAATTCTTCCCCTTAAATCAATACTCAGATACATTTGAAATTCAACCTTATTATTGATACAAAATAAGGTCTATAATAAAATAAGAGTGTGGCTATTGCAAATTGACCCTTATGAAAAAGGCATAAGGATACAGACAATTCTGCTGTAAACGTCATCGCAATATGCTAAGTAATAAATTATGAAACTCCGCCCCGCGTAAAAGTTTAGAAGTAGTGATGGGGTAGAAACGTTAACGATATATCGATGATGTATATAATGCGAGAAGTTATCATGTATGTTAATTGATTTTTCAAACAATAACAAATAGAAGATGTTTAATTCTTCTAATCGAATTTTTCAATATAAAAACCGAGTTTTAAGTATCATTTTATATATTCATGATTTTTAAAAGTCGGTTTTCAATTCTGTATAATAAATATGCCTATCAGCAAACATATGCTCTAAATGGCTAGTAAGAATAAAATATGATACGCAACAAATTTGGTTTCATGATTTAAATAAACTTGGTCTGTAACTCATATAAATAACTTATTTTAAAAAATACATATTTACTAATAGGGAACGCAAAAACATTGATATTAGAATAAAAATACTTTGGATGGGAGCTTTATTTAATAATATTAAATAGCTCAATTATTCTGTTTTTAATAACAAATATAAAACACAAGAATAAAATTAATATTTAAGAGGACCTTTGTACAAAGGTCATATTTGCTTGTTTCTTTTACTGAACCGAATTCGACTCGCCCTACGACCTAGTGCTAGTCCCATTATCCTTTACTTCGCTATTTAACCGTTTTTGTCGTTTAATGACTGTATCTATTATTATCTGAATGATTATATTTATACTTTGAATGTTAATTGACTGAAATAATATAGATTCCTTATCCATTTGTAACTATATTTTATCGACATTTGCTATGACCTCACTATATAAACTGCACGCGGCAACTTTAATTAAATTCCTTTATTGACACTTGCTAACATATGTTGCAATTCCAACCCCTGTCTGTTAATACAGAATAAAGCAAAACAAACTCTAACTCTTCTATGTAAAGAACATATTCCTTTAATCTCTAGATCAAACCCGAAATTGTATTTTATTATGAATGAAATAAAGGCGAAATTTTGTGTTTCATGGAACAGTATCTTTGAAAATGATAATAATTCTTGACGATAATGATATTAGGTTGAAGTTTGCGTGTGTTTTAGTGGCGAAGTTAAAAGTCCATTATCTGCAGCCTTTGGGGTCTGAAATATCTGGCTTTAATTGATTTGCTCAATGTTATGAAGCTAATTTTATAATTAATTACATTCATATGATGCTTAACATGACAAATGGTGAATAAAGTGCCATAATCAATTGATAACAATTATTATTATTACAAAATTTATAGAAATAGATTTATCAGCGATTCGACTATAAAGTGTCTGACATTTTTGAAATATAATTGATAATAGGCTTGTGTCCTACAAGTGAAAATACAGGTTTTTGTTATATCTTCGAAAAATATGAACAATTTTAACTTATAAATATTTAACAAAACAAATTTTAAGTCACTGATTTGGAAAATATTACGCTTTGACAACTTGAAAAAAGTAGAAATATCTACTACATAAATTTTAACAAATTTTTGTAGATAAGGCATTAAATTAGATATAAAAAATGTTACAACTTTCATTATACACTATAAACATAAACGCACAAATAACAAAGATATTACAAAAATGTCCAGACGCCCATACATTTTTCGCTACTGTGCACCGTGTGACGTCACGCCTTGAATTTGTAGAGAGCGTTTTCGGCCAACAAGCAGCATTTCTACAAACACAGCACCGTATCTCCGAAACTATTAATCGCAGACATGCTGTTACTTCGACATTATTTCTCAGATGTTAATAGACTAATTATTTATGAAATAAAAAAAAGTTCTAAACTAGCCTATTAACGAGAATTAATTGACGAGAAAAGAACTTCAAAAATAAACACGAATAGTAATTGTTAATAATAATACTAACAAATTTCAAGAAAATTAGTTTGAATTCGGGCGAGGATTAGCTAATTATGCTTTAATTATCCGACTTCAAATGAAGTTTTTTGAAGAAGTTAATTATCATTTTCGATTTTTTGACATAGGTTTATTTGTATTTCAGTATTTTACAGACAAACTAAAGCAACTTTACTATTTACACATAAATTTATTACCAAAATCTTGTAAAAAAATTATCATGGTCATTGAGAATAACTCTTTTAAATAAAGAAACTTATTAACATTAATACGAGTACATTTTTAATGAAGGTATCGCAAGCTAATACCTCATGAAAATTATCCAGTCGAATAGTAATAATCTTTTTTGAAGTATATTATATATTTAAAGTGTTGAATATTTCATGAACAAGTTTGCACGTATATTTTGAGCTTCATACATAATATAGTCCAGGCTTTATTAATCGATAAAAGTTTGGATGTTAAAATATAACTTACCTCATACTTAAAGTGTACAGTGGAACATTGCAGCAGTGTGCCCATCAGCTTGTGAGGATTCCACGTCACAGAGTCCGCCCTATTTACAAACATAATAAGATTCAACATACAGTTGTACTCGTAGATCATATATACATTTTCTCGAGTGCTCGCGATACGAAATATAAGCAACTTTTGTAAGGGCCACTCAAAAAATTATTATATGGAGCTCTTTCACGCTGCGAAAGGCAGATTAAGTTAGTTCCGACTGCATCTGCAGTCGGTAATACCCGCCAATCCGCATTGGGCCTGCGTAGATCTTAGACCGTTCTCCCTATTTGATGCATGGCGGTTCCATCCACAGAGAAGGCAGCACAGCAGTGGGGATATTAATAAGCTAGACATACAAACTTTAAGTTTTAATAAATTTTTCCAACAACTGATTGTTTGTCTGTAGTGGGTAATTTAAATAGTATTCAATTTTTATATTGATAATCTTAAGTATAAAAAAATTTTTAACCACAAACATTAAATTTGAATTATAAACCGCATTAAAGGGCGGTGATCAGTAAGTCAAATATTGTGTGTTATCATCTATTGGCACAGGCTGAAGGGTGTACGCACCCTTTATTAGGGTCCCACTGATGTGCCGCAGATTACGAATACATGAATACTGATTTAAACCAAATATGCTGTCCCGATCACTGCTCTTAACTATTCTAAATAATCTTTAAGAACTTTAAAAACATAACAATTAAATTTGCTAACGAAGTGCTGGGAAAATAAATAAATATTTTTTTTTAAAATAAGACACAGCTTATATAACTCGTTTAATGTAGTCTTACACTGGTATCTATAGTCGAGAGAAGTAATTACTTGAGAAAATGTCATATCTTTGAATGAAGTAGAACTGTTAATAGCTCATAATAATAATTCTTACTATTAATGATAACTTCATTAAAATTCTCGATTATTTCGTAAAAATATCCGCTTAAGTTATGACATAAAGAAGAATTATTTTGCTGAAATAATCTTATAGTTTTTGAGTGTTTACCCATTATAAACAACTTTTCTTCTTTATACTATTACTAATATAGTACAGACTGATTTTGAACCACGACTTTATATAAATTCAGTATTAAATTATTGGATATTCAGTATGAAATTATTGTTTCAAAATATTTCTTTATCAGATTACATCATAATTGGCGCATCGGTTATGTAGTCGCAGATAGACAAAGACATATTTTTGAGAGACAGATTTTAGTCTATTTGTTAAAAGATTATCCTAGAAAATACTTAACCAATTGACATAATTTTTAGCTATCATAGTAAAGACGAGATTGTTACCCATAATCTTTCACAGTCCAGGCGACTGCTGACCAGCGAGACTAAAGATTTTCTCAAACACAAAACTGAGTCTGAGTCTAGACAGAAATATAAAAATTAGATTGAGAAAGAACAAGAAAACAACATTCTTAAGTAAACTTATTTGGAAAAATATAGCCTGTCCTTCTCAACAATAAATAACATTAAAAAAGTTACGTATGTTGTTCCCAGAGTATTAGTGAATTCCAGTATTAATAGCATTACCGCGTAGCGCGAGTGACGTGCGAGTAGCGATTATGTTGCTACGACAGCTGCTACGGGAGTGCTACAGGCTACGAGTTTTATTTAATCTTTGATATTCATAGGGTTGCCGTAATAATGATAAACTAAATTATTGTTAGTCTTAACTATATTTTTAACCAAGTATTGATGCAAGTAGCTGTACTAATGTTTTTTTAAAAGTAAATTAAAGAAGTTACCTTGTAAAAAACATATACTCTCAGTTCAAAGACTACACGTAATATTAACAAGAAAACAGATTATAAATAATATTAAAAGTCACATTTGACAACAAAATAAACCGATAAGTTAATTAAACAGATATTTTAAACTCAATTGTCTTTTATGTGACAGCCCTAGAGTGCTTGTCACACGGTCCACTGCGCTCGCTGTTTTCTGCCGGATTTGACCCCTCTTAGGTCCCTCCCGCCGATTTACTCACCCTAAGAGGGGGGCCATGACATTCTAAAATTTTAGGAGTACAAATTTGTCAAGCATTTTAAATCAAATTTTTACATTTCCTTAATCATTACTTATTTTCTTGTTTAGAGAACATTATCTTAACCTCTCTTACTATATTTCTCTCCCGGAGAACAATTTTATTCTACGATTCTGCTTTAAATTAAGTCCTTGTCCTACTGTTTTAATTTGCAGCATGGTAACCGTACTAGTCTGTCGGTATTTAGAGGCATCTGGTGCATGATGGATGGGTGCCTTAATCCTCGCGGCAAAGTGCCTCTAATAGTCTATGGTGTGAGGGCTTGTCTCTATGGCTCACCAAACGGGATTTGGGTAGAATCTTTGGATCCTCCTATTTTTGATTAATGATTTGCAATTATTTGTAAATTGTATGAAATATTTTGTTTTAAAGACGAAAAGACAATAAAGAATGCTCAAAACATCATCTAACTGTTCCTGCTTAACCTTCTTTGATGACGAGTACATTAATTTAAAAAAATTGTCACATCTTGTAATGTTATTATTTTCTTCTATCTGGTTCGACGAAAGTATGTATATCTAGATAGAAATTATTTAATTATATAGTACGAAAGTAGCTGTCTTTATATCTTTTACACTGTTGCCGGCCAAATCAATGTTGATATGATGTTAAAGTTAAGGAAAGGACATATTCCAAAATTTTCCAAAGTAACAACAATCATAAACGTAATTACAAGTATTTGCCAAACTATATATATCATCATCATATCATCAGCCCTTTTATGTCTCCACTGCAGGGGCTCAGGCCTTCCTTACGGATGGTTAAGGAGGATGGGCCATGACCCTCCACGCTGGCCCAATGCGGATTGGAGGGTATTAACGACTGCAAATGCAGCCGGGACCAACGGCTTAACGTGCCTTCCGAAGCACGGAGTAGCTCGAGATAATAATTTTTTGGTCACCCATCCCGTGACCGACCCCTGCGAAAGTTGCTTAACAACAACGATCGCGGGCCGCGGCGCTTAACTACTACGCCACCGAGCTACTCAATGTTAATATGATGTTAAAGTAATCTATACTAATAATATTATAAGGAGGAAAGATTTCTTTGTTTGCAACGAATAGGCTCCGAAACTACTGGTACATTTTAAAAATTAAAGCCTACATTTTATTCCGAAAAACAGCGAATAAAGGGAAAAAATGGGTGTGGATGTTTGTTAGCGAATTGAAACGTTACCATAGTAACGACTGTTTACTATTCAATTTGTCATTGTAATTATATCCGTGCGATATGATTCGATATACAAATAAGTAGTTTTCTAGGGACCACGCCGGTGAAACCGCTGGCGGAAAGCTAGTAAGACATAAAATTCAACCTCATGTTGTCCCAGTGACGAGGTATTAAGTTTCTGAACGACTACCGTGCTTTCCTTTCCCGCCAAGACGTATCTCAGCGCGCTTTCTGACACTATGGCCAACGGACAATATAAAAAGGAGTGTATAGTCTTCAGAAGACTTTTTTGCTTGTAGTCTGATACAAATACCAACTTTCACTATGGAGATCAAACATTAAAACATAACAGCTGATTTTTTATTTTATTATGAGGGTATCATATATGTCCTTTTTAATATATGATTTAATCCATCGACTTTTTCTTTCGGATTATTAGTAAAAAAAATTAAATTCCTTTCATTTCTCAATGGCATGATAAGCAAAATACACAAAAAGTATTTCTCAATGGCATGATAAGCAAAATACACTACGTATTTTCACGCTGTTACTTATATTACTTCCGTGAAATACATACATTTTCCTAATATTATATTTGGAAACTAATATTTTTATAAAAACACGGACAATAAATATTTAAAAAAATATTTGTAAAAGAATCAATAATATTAACAATGAAATACGACTTCAATATTGTGTTAAGTATATTTTGTTTTGAATCCAATAAAAATTTCCATGGTAATATTGCATACCCTTATTATTATTTATGAAGCAATAATATAACATGAAATATATGCAGCAGACTTTTCAGTTAAACACATACTCTACTAAATATCATTAAAATCCACTCTGAAATACTTTAAATAAAAGTTTTATCATATCAAACTACTACTACAAAAAAAGTAAAAAATAAAGTTTAATACAAAATTATTATTTCCTGTAATTTTTTTAGTTGGATTTTAGTAATTTTCATTGTCGCTATGATAATAAAAACCAAAATTATTGACAAAATTCGTGTTAGTAATTTTGCGTGAGGGAAATGAAGGTTTTTTGACTTGATGTTTTTTTTCTATCTTCCGTAGCTAAAATGAGATGGATTCTTAAATATCATCATCATCATCATCATCATCATCAGCCCTTTTACGTCCCCACTGCAGGGACTCAGGCCTCACAAACTTGATTAAAAATATTCCAGGTTTATTTCCTTTTTTCTAGTATTTGTATCAGGCTATTGTCACCACCAAGGAAGCAACTACGGAGATATTCATAGTTGTAGACATAATATCATCTTTATTAATTTGTGTATTCTGCATTGTTATGTAATGATAATATGTTCATTTAAAAGCTATTGGTTATTTGTTAAAGTACATTAAGGTTAGTAGTGATTAAGAACAGGGTTAATTATGTTGTAATTACTTACTTTATTATACTAAGTGTTCTTTTTCTAATGGTTAGTTTTGAGCCATCATCTAGGGTTGTCTCAGTAACATAAAAACAAAACATACATCGCAGTCGAAAAGAACTTTTTCAATTTTAAAGTCGATTAAAAGGTTGTACGAGCCGTACCGATGATAAAGAAAAGTAGTTAATCCGTTTGAAGTTGTGTGGATAGAACCAAATTTAAATTAATAAAATATTCCTAGCGGATCTACCGAAAAGGTTGTTTCGTTGAGAAAGAACATTATAAAAAGGTTATTTTACCTCTCTATGCCGGTGAGTCGAGGATGACGGTACTTCTTGGAGAACAACAGGCCGCCACCCCACGCCGCCTGCACCACATACAGATAAACTTATCGCTCGCCAGGAAACATATATATGATATTGAGCGTTATACTTGACCGAAATAGCAACCTGAGTGAGTATGTGTTAATCTGAAACGTAGGACTCGCATAAAAATCATAAAAAATGTTTATTAAAAAAATATTGAAAGTTTACCTCCCTGTCCTATATTTGCTTTATACGGAAGTCGTAACATCCTTCTAAATTTACGATTATCATATTTGTAAATAAAGTAAACAATATTTTAGCATATGTATATCATATTTTTTTAGTATGACACGGCTGGTGCTTTGTGTGTGTGTTATTATCTTAGTAATAAATATACTTGAAAGTAGTCAATATATTCGCTTCTGTCTTTTTATAAGAGCAGATTCCTTGTCACTAGCTATTTTAAAAAGTCTTTATAGTACTTACGTCTACATGCATCCACATGTCGTACTTCTGGCAGATGTCAGCGATCTCAGTGAGTGGATCGAATGCGCCCAGCACAGTGGTACCGGACGTGGCATTCACGAAGAATGGCACCTGAACACACAAACGTAAAAGGTATTGTAACTATAGAGAATATATTTTTGGGAATTTTACAATTATTAATGTTGGTACATTACGCTATCACCGTAGTTTAGTAGATTTAGAATCTAATCCAGGATAACTATTTACATTAACTTCAAAGTACAATTCAATGTGTTTGCATTTGCTTAGCCAAAAGTCGTTAACCAACAACATTAACAACTTCATTAAGAATATTTATCTTTAAGTTAAAAAAAAACTTTTATTTCTATCGGTGACAAAAATAATACATAAGCACATATTCCGTTAGTAGATAAAGATGGTGGAGCGACAGTCAGTTAATTGACCCTCTAACTCCTAGGTGCCAAATATGCAGATTGAGGAAATGAATTTGATAGTCTAGCTAGGATCTAGATGATTGTAGAGGAGAGATCTTCAATTGCTCAGTCTATGGCGCAATTAGAGCGCTTGGTTTGCGATAAGCTTGCTAGGCGAATTACATAAGGGCTGGTCATTGGATGGGTGTCTAAAAATTTTTTCGTCTTCGAGCTCCTCCGTGCTTCGGAAGCTACATGAAGCTATTGGTCCCGCCTACATCTGCAGTCGTTAACACACCAATCCGTACTGGACTCACGTGGTGGGGTCATGGGGACACTGATGATGATGATCTTCAATTGTTAGACAAATTGTCACCACAAAAGAGGTTGGTATGATGTCCGCAATAGTGTACTGACATTGCCCCTGTCCTTGTGGTATCGCACCAGCCGCTCCAGCTCGGTGGGTATCATCTTCCCGCGCTCGTCGCTCGGGACGCACACGCAGTAGTCAGTGCCCAGACCGCACACGGACGCGCACGACTTCACCGAGTAATGACACTGTCACAAACAATTGTAATGTTATTACGTTTTATTTAAATCTTTTTACCGATGGCTCACAATTTTCATTAACGCTTGGAATTAGTAAAATATCTAATTCTATAATATCGAATATTTAAAGGAGTAATATGCGAAATTGTTGGAACAATATGACTAGGGAATGCAATCTCGCGAGATTGGAGTGCGGGCGAGATTTCTAGATTCATAAATGTATATCAATACCGCGAGATCTCGCGAAATTGACACTTTTGTATGTTAATTGTTGCAAATATGCACAACATTTTAATAAACATTTAACATTGTTTGAAGCATTTCTTTATTTTATTTATCTAATATCTTTATTATACAGGGGCTTTCAGGGGCGATAAATTGATTTAGTTAGAATTCTCATTCAGTCAGCTCAGCTCAGTCATCCAGCTACTAAACTTATAAACAAATGAAAAACGAAATAAAATAAAAAGCTAGCCTTTTCTGCTGATATCGCAGATCACTTTTTCACCCCTGGACTCGCATTAATTCGCGCCTCCGCACTTAGACTAAGTCGTTTTTATGCTCGAGTGCAATCTTAGTAAACATGCGAGATCTCGCCCATTTTTTTGACCGAGATCAGGCTCGCTAAAAAGGCCAAGATCTCGCGAAAACGAGATAGCATTATCTAAGTAATAAGGGCTTTGATTCTCGCCATATTGAAATTTCCGTATTTTGAGACCTCACGTCACTTTTTTATCACACTTATTTCGGTATTACAAAGGCGGGATGTCGCGGGGTGTGATAGACACACAATTCCATTCTAAAATACATTTGAAATCATCATAAAAAGTAAATTTTTATTATGAGTTCTGTGTGGAAATATTTAAGATTTATTATAAATCTACAAAGAGAATACTGCCGACTAGTGTGGACATTGTACAACTGTACAAATGGCATGTTTATTAAAATCACTTGAGTTGTCTGGCTTGTGGTACCTGGTCGGAGGTGAACATGACTAGGTGTCCGGGGATGCTGGTGAGGCCCTTCTCCTTGTACTGCGGGAACTTGTGGTGGCGCGCCGCCAGGAACGCGTACAGGTTCGAAACTGATCCACCTGTTCAACAATTTATTGTATTTTAAATTATAGTGAACTCACATCAAAAATGATCTAAGTCAAGTAAAGGTACTATTATTACACTAAAATAAAATAGAACGAACCAAAGTTTCCTCTCTCTCTTACTTAGTGGCACATTATTGTTATCTTCTATAATTCAATTATTTTTACTTTTGCAAAGTGTAGTGTAGTGTAGTGTAGTAAAAAATCTAGGGATTCATAAATCGGAGTCTACCTAGTGTTCATTTATTCCACATTAAATTGTTGTCATCCATATGCTCATGTTTTCCCATATATATATATATAGAGGAATAAATATTTATTATTTTGCTTGTTGCCTCACCTGGAGCTAGTATCGAGTCTCCTGTCTTCCATCCGATCATACTCCTCATCTTCTGGAGTACCACGTTTTCCATGAGTATGAAGACAGGTGCGATCTCGTAGGTGAACATGTTAGTGTTGGCGGCGGCTGTGAGCCATTCGCCAGCCAGAGAAATGATATCCAGACCACACGACAGCTGGTTGAAGAAGTGAGGGTGACCTATACCGAATATAAAAAAAAATGTTTATCGTATAACTTATTAAATAAACATGTCTATAATATTGACATGAAGGTTGCTGTGGTTTGTAGTTTCAATAACGATTTTAGGAAGAACTGCCTCCCGAAATATAGGATTAATTCTAGTTTGGGAATTTCTGGCTCTGTGGTTCATTCTAAAGATATGAATGTTATAGATATAAATCTTGTAAACCCTTTGGATGGAAATGTCTATTGGCTTATGAGATATGTTTACAAAATAGTGTCAAGATTTTCTTCTTCTCTTAATGGCTGCTTTGTTTCAACAACAATTCTGCCAATTTTGCTTATGTGATCATTAAATATTTTTCGAGATAGCAAAATCTCCTCTAATATAGTTAAACTAATATTATAAAGAGATTCATTGATTGTTTGCATCGAATAAGATTTAAAATTACTGGATCAATTTAAAAATTTCACTTAAGGGAAGCTACATCTTATGCGGGTGACATAGGCTATAATTTACGCGTGCGAAGTCGCGGGAAAATCGCTACTATAGTATAAAATACAAATGGCGTGCTAAAAAGAAACAAAGACAATGAGATAAAATCCGTTTCTGTAATGTGCCTAAACGTGTTTATTTCTGTTCAAGATGGCGTCACGTCCGGTCGGAAACAATCGCGCGGTGCAATGACACGTGCTATTGCTTCCGGACTATGTGGTCGACCGAGAAATTGGTTTGTTTTCATTTTCACAAACCTACGTGTAAATTGTTGGAGCTTTATTGTTTCAAATACTTTCCTTTTGTTCTGTGTTTTACAGTTTTAGCTAAATGGCAAAAAAGTTAAATTAGAGTTAAGGTAGGTATAATAAAAACTTAAATTTCGTTATTTCAATAGAATTACATACCCTTAAAGATTTTGATAACATCTTTGAGATTGCCTCACTTGCGCCTAGAGTTATTACGTTTGGCCAAAAAATATATACCGGTCTAAACAGTTACTAAAACAAGTCAGACCTCTCAATTGATTCAAGATAAATCTATCATATATATTTTTTTTATATTATAATAAATGCAATCAAACTCAATTTCGCTTCAACAAATTTTTTTACGTCTTTAGCCGTTACGTGCCCGTAACGTAGCGGCCATGTTGGCATTTTCAAGGGGAAATGGACGTCATATTGTGACCGTCATTATAGATGAACATAAGACTACACATTAGGTGATAATAAAGTTACTTTGTAATATATACACCAAAGGAAAATATTACAACTAAAATATGTATCTGTTGAATATTTAAAGCACATCTTGTCCTCGTAGTCTACTGACTAGCGTAGCGAACTGCGAAGCTGTGGAATTCGCTACCGGCTCGCTGTTTCCGGGCAAATACAATCTGGGACTCTTCAAGTCAAGAGTGAATCGGTTCCTTCTAGGCAAGCACGCTCCATCTTAGACCACTGCATTACTTATCATCAGGTGATCTGTGGTCAAGTGCTTGCCTATTTAGAATAAAAAAATAAAAAGAAAAGACTAAAGGTGAAAGATCTTTTTCGGAAATTTACCTTTTCATGTTATTAGTATAAAGTTTATACTATTATTATTAGGATCATAGGAAGTAAAGTTTCTTTTAAATATATTGTAGCCATACTATAGACTTAGATAACGTTTTAGACGTTGAAGGTTTTAAGTTAAGTGTAATATAATTAATATTATTCGTGTCATTTTGTAGCAGTAATAAAATTATATAACAACCTTATTTATTTCATGTTAATTATCACGCCATTATATGTATACTAAACATATCCGAACAGATTTCCAAGGGAGCGTGGTATTGTGTGTGGTGCATTTTCTATATTTACTCTTTTTATCGGTCACGTGTCCAACCCATAAACAAGCACAGATAGCGCCGTATTGTCTATGACGTGTGGGAGTGACAGTTTTTTATCTGTACTGCCAAAAATTATAGCGGGGAAATTGAATGTCTCTTATCTGTAGTTTGATGTGAAAAATGAGACGTAGACAGCCACCTATTGTGATCACAAGATGATTGTTTGTTTGAAAAGTGAAATGCGTGTTAGTGAAATTTTAAACTTTTTAGACGTTTTTATATTTTGTTTTTTATTTGGTGAGTGGTGGAGTGGAGTTTAGCGATGGTAGAACAGAGGATCCTGTCGTCTAATCTGCGATCTCGGGAATGATTCTCTGCTGTGGAGATTAAGAATAAAATTGTTTTCAGTATATTGAAGAACAGGAGGATATGGTACTGCCATGAAGTTATCACAAATGGACAAAATTTCATAATTAATTTTAAATTCAACCGTCATCGCCTTAATGCTTTAACTTTTGACTTAGAAATTTCCAAAGCACGTGGGTTTTACACAAATTATTTGGTATTGTTATCCTGTAAACCGGTTACTTGTAAACAAAATTGTCTAAATTATCGCCTGTAGAAAATATAGAATCGAAAAATTTCGCATAAGAGACACTTTAAGAATTTAATCGTTTTGCTTTTTTCAATAACAAAATAAAATGACTACTTAACATAATATTTGCAAATGCAAACCCACACTTCATCTATCAAGCCTCAAACAATCAATCGACAATGCCTAATTTGAATACTCCACAATTGGGTGATTTAATTTCCACTGGCAACCCCCTGCGAAGTGTGATAAGCGTACCCAGGGGAGCTTACTGTATCAATTGATAATACTTTTTGTCAACTAAAGACTGAGGGGAGATTGAAAAATAGGTGGTTAAACATCTTACAAATAAATAAGTTATATTTATTTAAACAAATTAGAACACTTCTGTAAAATTTGGAAAATGCTTTGACCCTTTTTAGTTCGATTCTTTAGTATTTAACAGACAATTCAATATTTTTTATCAAATCGATTCCTTCCATTAGGAAGGCTTAGTCTCCCAGTAGTGAAGACGTTATTAGGCTGGGAATGAATTAGTTTTATATTTTTAAACACTAAAATCCAGGATTCGATTTTCAGTCTAATGAGTTTATGAAGCGTGCGTTTTTATTGTATTTAGCCCGACACCTTAAACTAAATGTACGCAATAATTATTATTTAATGTATCCATAATTTAAAGATGAGCAGTGGAAGGAAAAGGAAATGAAACTTTTCATCATATTATTATAAGGTCAAAAATTAAACGAGCATTTGAGTTCAATATCAAGAAGAAAATATGAAATTAATTATGTCTCGATCATAAGAAATTGTCACAATGAACATTTCATCAAATCGAGAAAATGTCTAATTCACTTCCATTTATCAAAATCATTGACATATAACTGACTGAATGTTATTTCAAAGTCACTCGCAAACAAACAAGTAAGCGCCAGATAAATCATATTTACACGAAAACTTTCGACCTAAAAATTAAAGCAGTAAACTTCAAAATAACTTTGACAGCTGCCCCGGCAAATGTTGCTAGAAGAAAATATTAATTCACCAGAATGATCCCCTCTCTCTAGCAGATGGGGTCAGATTAATTCGAGTCAGGTGTTACCATAATCCCGTTTTAATCTGCATTTTAGTGTAGGACAGGGGTAGGTTTTTACAATGGGAATTATCCTCGTGAATTGTTGCCTCCGTGCGCGCGTCTAGGGAGAGATTGATTAAAAAATATTTGTGTGTTGTTGTTTTTTTTTTCATACTAACCCCTTTTGTATTCAGTAAAAACTTAAAAGAATTCTCTAGGTCTTTTGCCATTTTAATTCTTGTATTTTTATTAATTTATTTTTATTACTTCTTTGTTATAATATCTAATCTAGCTATCTAAACCAAATATCACTTTTCTTGAGTCGACACTGAAATATTGTATCGGCACACAGTGATCCAGGGTTAAATAGACAATTTTCATTTGTAGCAGTAAAATATTTTATTGCGATGCAATGTCTTTTCCAACTACTAAATCAGCAGGATTTAAAATTCAGTGTAGTACAACGCTGCGCTCGACCTCGAGTTCAAGTCTATTTTGATAACAGATTAGCATAGTTGGGCTTTTTTGGTTCGTAGCAGTAAAAATGTTTGACCAAATAAAAATGCTTACAACAAACATAAATCAACGAAGAATATTTTCATTCCATAGCATATAATAATTCTCAATAAACCTTTTAAATACACTACATACGTCAATTTATATCTTTATTGAACGAAACTGACGCGTTAATAGATTCTTTTCTAGTGTTTATCTCCCGCAAGAGTCCCTGGGGACCCTCTGGAAGCCGCTACTACGCCGCCAACGATCATAAATATACCCCACACAAGGGTTTGATGGCGGATATAAAAAGAGACTGTGATTCATCAAAATAAAACTTTTAAATGGGAACTACCTACGTATTAAATAAAAATTTAACGAAACTCTTTTATGTACGAAAATGAGAATGATCAGTCTTGAAATTATTAGTTTAGTATACTGTTAGTCCTACAATTATAAAGTCATAGAAGCGATGGTGAAAGTAAATTTTAGCCAGTCTTTAGGTTGTAAGCTATATTGCAAATGAAAATATTTTAATACAAAGTATCTAGCCAGCTCTACCACACTCCGCATGTTGCCACGGGTGATTCGTATTATTGCACGACACGCAGAATGGGGCTAATGTAATAGTCTATTTACCCTTATTTATAGAGGTAAACCCTAGATAATACAAAAAAGTTCATTTTCTATATCGACTCGACCGGAAATCGAACCAATGATGACCTCTGATATGGCAACACCTTGAAACCAGCATGCGAGGTACTGTACCAAGGAGGTAATAAATTAGTATTTTTTTTTAATAAACTTTAAACAAACCACACAAAATGGCGCTTATAAATATCTTTGGTTCCTCAATTTATGTCAGATCGACAACACTAATATGGGGGTGTGTACGTTTATTTTGTTATTATTCACATCACAGGCAATATTAGATTTGTGGGCTATTCACTTGACGAACCAATTGTTAGCTTTTGGAACTAATACAGAGTATTGTTAAAATAAATTCGTTTATAATTATTGAAACATGTCATGTGCGAGGCAGACGAGGGTTTCGTATAAAATTTGAAAAAAAAAAAAAAATCGTAAAGTTTTTCTATAATTTATGGATAAGTATCTTTTAAGTTTGGGGCTATTAGTTTCAAAAGTATCTACATTTTTGTTTATTTTCTTATATTGAATAACTAGAGAATCTATTCAGATTCAGAGCGGTCTACATTCAGAATCCGCTAAAAATATTTTTGAAAAATATCAAACCGCTTTGTTTCAGCGATTTTGAATGAACACACACAAAACTCATTAGAAATGAATAATTTAGTATTCTCGCAACAAGATTTGATATATCAATCTTTGTAACTACGGAACAAATGACACGCGAGTAATTGAAATTCATATAGGAATATGAAATTCATATAGGAATATGAATTTCGCTTTTTTTCCGTTTACAGAAACATAAATAAAATGAGGATAAATTAATATAGGATGAAAATTTACCGTGAACGTACGGAACATAGAGCACTAAATTGGAAATATTTAAAGACGTAGGCACCAGATAAAAAGCTTATCTTAAAAGCTGCCAATGCCCGTTATAAACATCTCACGTCATTTAAAAGCGGAAAATGTTCATATTTCTTATTTTCGATGAGAAACTTTTTCCTGCCTCTCTTCAATCTTGTCTCAACTTTTACCAAGTAAAAAAAGGGATCTGTCCTAACCGTTTCCTAAAATATACACCGTCTTCCCGAGTAGGGTTGTTACCTTTCTATATTATAATACAATATTTATCTTTACGAAACCATTTATATCTATTTATAGTATTTAATAAAGTGGTTTCCTGCTTTGTTGTCTGTACGCTGAGTACTTTTTAACTACACAACTGATTTTAATGCGGTTTTCACCAAAGAGGCGCAAAGCTAATGAGTAGTAGCCGAAAAATGTTAAAATAAAATATTTATGTTATTATAATTTCTTTGGGCGTCGTTTTTATTAAATGATCTTGTTTGAATTACAAAATAACCTTTTTTCATATTTATGTTGCCTCATTTCAAGCTGCCCACCCTTGTTCCTGTCCATTGCCTATACAATTTTATACAATGATAGATATTCGTCTTATCTATGTCTATTGAATCTGGATAAGTTACCCAATATGATTGATTGTTATGAATATATCAAGATGATTTTGAAACATGTTTACTTTACGATTATTGTAAGTATAAGTTTATGTAATGCTATTGTAATTAACTTTGGAACGTCTGGATTTTTGCGTTATTTTTTTTGTCAGAAAAATTAATATTCAGTAAAATATAATGTTGTGCGCAGCGTCGAAAGCAACACAGTAATAGCATAAAGATTCATCTAATAATATCTTTATTACTTTTTTCAGTACATGCTGTGATAGTACTGTAACGTGTTTTTAAAGTAATTTAGCACTGCTCAATTTGTAGCAGCTTACGAATGTTAAACGATTCAAAAGCGTTTTCAATCTATTAAATATATACATATTTTTGTTTCATTTCGACAATCAAAATTTATGAGTTATAAACAAATAATCAACACATTTTAGGTTTAATTTAAAACATAAGCAGCTACATTTCTTACTGACTCTACTTAAGGTATAGGCAGTCATAATGTATCGCGATGGTCCTCTAATAAACGATTACTGCAACGTGGCCGATGTGGCGTTGTAATCCCGTGATTTGCGTTCTATTACTGAGGGGTCGCAGGTTCGATGTCGGCTTTACGTGGACGCCTCATAGTTTATAGCGGAGGGAGGCTCATTTTGAGATAGCTCTCGAGACAGACTTTATGTTTCGTTATTATTATATAGACTAAGGAACTTTCGTAAATGTCGGTTATCAGAATATTGCGATCACATATACCTTTTTTGCCATTTGCTGATATTAGTTAAATTTTGCCGAATAAGTGTTGAGACGATAGAAGGTGGTCAACGTGTATATTTAAGACTTAAGCACTGTCGTCATTGTATTTTGAGAGATTCCAATTAGAATATTACCACATATAATACAATTAGTTTAGGAAGAATCGTGTCGTAAAATTTTCATGCTTTCTAAAGAGACATTATTTTAAATGTTTTATAATAAGTGCCATTTTATATACTTATTCAAAGCTTCGTAGACTAACTTCTAAAGATTTCCCTAACATACCTCTTTATAATATTGGTGATCGATGTTAGTGTTAACGGCAGCAGATGTTATTTTTCTCCTAAGCGGCTAAATAGCTATCGGGTCTGAATAGCACTAAAATATAACCTGCTATACCTATACATACACTATAGATACTGTAACATCTGTGCACATTACTAAAGGTAGGTTTATTCTCCGGACGATTTATGGTCAATGCTGGCCGCAAATATTTTGAATTATTACTTTTTCCGTATTTGAATTCGCGTGGTCGTATTTTGCTGGTTGATAATCTTTCTTTTGTAATTGAGATCGGCATAGACTCGGTATCGTAGAATTTACTTATAATTGATTTGATTAATATTATTTGCCAATAAAATCGAGAGTTTAAAGAATTACATCCAGGATTTCATTGAACACACCTGAGCTACCGCAGATCCCACCATTAGAGTACCTACTATACTGTTCTGTGTACTATACTATATATATCAACATTTAAATAGATCTTGTGTTGGTTGTCTGATGTGTCGTAATCTTGGTTCGTAATTAATATTTCCCGCGCATAGTTCGCGAGCGACGCGCGTCATTCCGCGCCGTTTGTGTAAGTAATTGGATTGTTTGAAACATTTTGATGGTATTTTGTAGGGATCCCTCTATAATTGGGTGGTTATTTAATATGAGTTCGTTACTTTTAGTTGGGAATAGGTAAACATGTTAAATACATTTTTTTATATATTCAGTGCTAGGTAAACTAGCTATCCCAACAGGCGTTAGAAATCTATGTTTTTAAATCAGGCGAAGAAAAAAAACAAGACAATGAAATCAGCAGACGGAATAATCCAGCTGGGATGGGCAGCGTTCAGAAAGTTATAATTAAGTTATTAAAAATCTTCTCGTCCGAATTACCTGTGTCTCAAGACAAGTTTTTGGATCAGAGTGGTAAGTGTAAGTTTTACGCTAACGCGTTCACTAGTGAGCGCGTTAAGAATTTGTATGGAGATTTGTAGTTCTTGGTAGTTACCGCTAGGGGCGCTGTACCGGATTCCATACTAAAATCTTAACGCGCTCACGATCGACAGTGAACGTAAACGTCAAAAAAACTTGCACTAACCGCTCAGTGTGCCGGAATTATATATGTATATGTATTTTTCTATGACTATTCTTATCGATTCCTCGAATTGGTGAAATTATTACACGTTCGGCTAAACAGAAGAGAGGAGATCTACGAATCATACGGTAGACGGGGCACAGAGCCGAGGGTTCGACGTTTTGATCTGAACACGACGGTCTGTCGGGATATGATGCGGGCCGGCAGGGGAGAAGATAATTGCGGCTATTGAAATGTCGAATTTGGGATGATGTCTTCACATACATATAATCATTTCCTTCAAGTATTCAACTATCAGTTGCCGATTTTTAGTCATATCGATAAGTCCTTCGTGTATGAGCTGAAGTAGTAATGAATGACTTATCCGGAGTGGCTAAAAATTTCGATGTGTTGAGTTGTTTTTAATAGTTTTGTAATACGTACTATTTTAGTAATGACATGATTAATGTCAATATCGTTACTTTCGATAAAAAGCTGTCAAGTTTCTTTCGCTTGTCGTTCTTGTCAGCCAAAGACGTCTTGAACGAGTGGTAGAAAAAAAAGGATGATTCAAAAGTACTTGTAATGAGCATATTTGAATTTAAATATTGAAATAAGCATATCCGTTTGATATTTGAATGTATGTATTAAAAGATATTATATATTAGATATTTAATTTTCATTATCTTGTATAAGTCTAAATTTTATAATATTTGTTGTGATGACCATACATGTCATTTACGTTTCTATGCACGTGAGAAATATATTTTGTAATTCTTTAACACGTTTGTTACACCGTTTTCTTTTATTATAGTGTAATTATCTGAAAATAATTTTCAATTTCAACTATCTATAAAGAAAATATCATAATTGGAACAACAATGTTGTGACAACATGTTCTCTTGCAATAAAAAAGCTTCCTCGGTCTGTCAATGGATAGAATGCATGATGAAGTTTTTGGAGTATATAATTTTTAACTGTCACAATGATTTATGAAAATATCGGAAAAATTACGATCACTTAGGAACTTTATATAAGTATATAACTCACCAGTTTTGACCTGGTTTTTGAGCGTCATCTTGCAGTCTTCCAACAGCTGACGCAGGGGGAGGGGCTCCTCGTGCAGCTCCAGGTCTAGCACCTTCATCATCTCCTCCGGCATTTTGAACTCTAATATCTAAACAATAACACATGAAATTGTTAATTTAAGTTATAAAAGTTGATAGAAAATATGTAGGATAGTATTATAAATTCCAATTTTTAATACTGCAAGTATATGTCAAAGACTTTTTTTTACTTACACGTTTCCTTGGTAAAAGCTATAAAATTTGTATTGTAGCCGAAATGCCCTTTTTCATTGGTATAAAATAGATCTATTCTAATATGTAGTATAATAGGAAAGGGTTTTTATTAATTTCTTGTGCTTTACCGTTGTAAAGAAGCATTGGATAGTTAGAATGCGGAATAATCTATTATAATAATCTAATCGAATAGCCTAGTATAATTATGAGAAAAAGTAAGTTTACTTTTGATCAGTGTGTATCTGTAAGAGCTCCACAGTGTTAAGTTTTACCTTTTCATTACGGTCGTTGACCTGCTGCACGTAATCCAGCAGCACATCGACAACTCGGGCGAGGAACTCTCGCGTCTGGGTGTTGGCATCCTCACGGTACGGCAGGATGGCTGCAACAAATAATATACAATTTAATAAATTAACAATATTTTCATTAGATAAAAATGCAGTTACTAATGAGAAATATTTAATTTATAAACTTTTCTGTTAAGTATTTTATCACCTCTATCATTAACGTTTCTACTGTTAGGGTCATCGGATAAAAAAACTTTCCTTACATTGAAAGTATGTGAAATTCATATGTGCATTACATATAAATTTCACATACTTTCAATTTTTATACTAAAATTATTAAAAGAAAAGATTTGATGGTTTGTTTGCAACAAATATACTCGGAAACGATTTTAAAAATTCTTTCACCTGCGGGAAGCTACATCAATATGCGGTGAACATAGGCTATATTTTATCCCGAAAAACAGCAAATAAAAGGATGAAAATGAGCGTGGAAGTTTGTATGGGGAATTAAAACGTATGACAAGTAACCATTCGTGTCATGATATGAATCGATATCCAAATAAAAGCTAGTACTCAATAAATTAGAATATTTAAATTTCGAAATATAATTATCTTTTACACAATGCCCTTTCCATTTTCAGTTATACCATTCTTTAACCCTCCAAACATCAATTCTTCCCAAACAATTCTTTGCAGAACAAAAATGTGCCCAAAACGTACAGCCAGTGGGCACGAACAAAGTGCTGCGCATTAGAACTTTGATTAAAAACTGTGTTCTAGTACAGACCTAGAGTTTATTCCGCGAATGTTTACGGTAACTATGATTTGAGATAACGATGGACTTCAATAAGCAATATTATTAAAAAAGATATAAATCTAACTAAAATATTATGGCTCACAGTCATTAAAAAAACGAGTTTATAAAATAATATATACAAAGTTCCAAAATGTCTCGAACAGAAAATTGTAATATTTATTGTGTTCAGGTGGCATTCATTAATTATGCAAGACTATTTTTGTCTCCCTTAGCCCCGTTTAAAGCAGAAAATCAAAAGAAAAACTATTGATTTCTTTTTCTTGATTTTTCGCTTAAAAACTTTGATTAAAAACTGTGTTCTAGTACAGACCTGCGTTTATTGTGCGAATGTTTACGGTAACTATGTATGGTGATATAAACTCTTTGGTTTATACCAAAAAGTAGCTTTGACCAAAGGAAACTATGACTATTCTGTCATCGATTGTCATGTAAAGTTTTTGTTGAATAAAGCCTATTAATTTCTCAGTTTATTTAATAATCTATAAAGGTTTATTCTACTACACTATGATTTGCAATAACGATGGACTTCAATTAGCAATATTATTAAAATAGATATACCACCACCAGCCCTTTTACGTCCCCACTGCAGGGGCTCAGGCCTTCCTTATGGATGGTTAAGGAGGATGGGCCATGACCCTCCACGCTGGCCCAATGCGGATTGGAGGGTATTAACGACTGCAAATGCAGCCGGGACCAACGGCTTAACGTGCCTTCCGAAGCACGGAGTAGCTCGAGATAATAATTTTTTGGTCACCCATCCCGTGACCGATCCTTGCGAAAGTTGCTTAACGACTACGATCGCGGGCCGCGGCGCTTATCCACTACGCCACCGAGCTACTCTAAAATAGATATAAACCTAACTAATATATTATGGCACACAGTCATTAAAAAAAAAGATTTTATAAAATAATATATACAAAATTCCAAAATGTTTCGAACAGAAAATTATAATATTTATTGTGTTGACATTGATGTGACATTGATTTATTATGCAAGACTATTTATTATGCAAGACTACTTTTTGCCTCCCTTCGCCCCGTTTAAAGCAGAAAATCAAAGGAAATAAAACGATTGATTTTTCTTAATACAAAATGCTTAAAAAATCCACTTGGTCCCTGGCACCCTGAGATGGGCATTTTTAAGCATTTTGTATTAAGAATAATTTTCAGTATGGCATTGTGAATGCAAAATTAATCAAAATATAATGATTGATTTTTCGTTTAAAATCTTATTAAATTTAACTTTGTAAGTTTTTGTACTCTTACGTATGATATCAAGACTGCTTCTTCCATGTATTTTTATTTTAAAAACAAGCTTTTATTTGTGCGTACTAAAACGTAAATAATAATTTTATGCAAGACACTAATGAAATTGGAGACGGGGAAATACATATATTTTTTACGCTCTACAAAATTTTCAATTCAATCACTGTTAGAGAAAATTTTGATTATAAGTACTTAGTTACTACTTCAAAATTTCAAATCAAGATTGGCGCACTAACATACTAACAAGGCAAGTTAAATAAAAGCTTTTAAAGCATGGCTGACACCCTACCCCTCTTCCAAAATTATCTTACGTAATAAATGGAGACTTTTTTAATATATTTAATATCCATACCTCTTCGAGTACTTATCCCATATATTCACAGATATTGCTCACAATACATTCCGGAAGCGAGTCATGTTGCACTAACTCCAATCGACGACGCGAATCATTTGCGTCCGGAATTAAAAACAGGGCAAAGCGGCAACATACTTGCACAACTCGGCAGTAGTATTTTTGACCTTATTTCATAGGGAATAAAGAAAAATGTGATCCATAGTGAATTGGGATTGATCTTCATTTTGAACAATAGGAGCGTTTTCCTTTTCGATTTTTTTTTTTGCTGATGAAGTTGTTACTTTAATACTTATTACAATGTAACAAGGTTGACTGCTGTTTTCTTCAAATTATTTGTAAGAGAATAAAGATATTGTTGGATCAGGTTTTTTGTTATGTCATTTTGATAGATTACTTGTCCTTTTGTTAAGACAGTGCCAAAATGTTGAAAATATTGTCATGTATGCCAATATTAGACTGTTGTGTTAGGAACACATTGCAAACCTTATAACTATCGATGAAAATACGAAACACATTCTCGCAATTAATTTTTCCGACTTGAGTAAATACTCACTCAAATTTCATTTTATTCTACAATAGTATAATAAGCGGCTAATTATTTATTTATTAATATCACCAAGTAACGGCACTGGTTATATATTACAGCATACGCACTTCAAACAACAATTTAAGACAAAAAGAAGAGCTGTTGGATTAAAATAAAACAGAAGCGTTTTCTGCACAGTTTAATAGCGTCAAATTACAAGAGACTCCCCAACCCTCCAATGCCGGCGTGCTGTTATAATGCAGTTAATACTATCACTCGACTGTCAAACACACGCCACACACTCACACGGACCGTGGAACACTTGATTTACTATTTTTACCATTTTTACGAATATAATTAATATGTTTATATTATAAGTATGTTTTTTTGAATATAATATTTCCCGAATTTATTTACTGACTTTATTTTTAAATGGTTTCATCGCGTTTTTATTTTTCTTTGTTTATATTTGGGTTGGTAATGGTAGGAGTAAATAAATAAGTTAAATGTAATTTTAAAGATAATTTAATTGATAAATGAAAATTTATCCGTAAAATATAATAGTTTTGTATTGTGAATGTGGCTAATAGTATTGTTTTGAAGGTAGCTATATTTTTAATTAAAAAGACAATCAACACCTTACTTTTATGTGTATACGGAACCCGTAAAAGGTCCGAACACCGTTTGAATATTGTTTCATTTTAAGGTAATCCATGTTAATGTTCATAATGAGGATGTATTTAAAAAAAACATTAGTTCCCGATATCAAACTACATGTCACTACGGTACTTTCTTGATTTCTCCATAACAACCTTTCCGGTTTTCTCTCATGTGTAAAGTAAATTAATTTTCAAAACTTAATAAACAGCTCATATTCTATTTGTACATTTTCGTATTTGTATTGATATCTAAGTTTCGAACTTCGCAAATTTCATTTTTTAAATCTTACTTAAACGGAATGGAAATGACTTCCATTCGTTTCCTGCAAAAGTCAACTTTTGCTAGAGTCGCCATCTAGTGAGGTGCTTATTTTAGTGCTTTCTCTTTTTTCTTAAAATACTTCCTCATTGTGATTCATAACTATTATACATACATAATAAATATTATCATTTTCATCTAAATAATAAGAGGTAATCATCTTGACTAAATTTGTTAGTGGAGGAAAATCTTTGAAAATGCTGATTATGAAAATTCTTTACCTACGGAAAGCTACAGAATACGTGGATGATTTTGGCTATTAATTACACGAACGATGTCGCGGTAAAACAGCTAGTAACTTATAAAAATGGATTTTTAATGACCTTGCAATTTTTCTGTTTAGTTATAATTAAATACAAATATGTATAGCAGTGAACATAATAGTTATTAAATGAAATTTACGAATTAAAAACCAACTGTAACTCCGAGTAGTAAGGTTTTAACGAGCAAATATTGAGTTTCGAGTAGTCGTGCACTTAAGCTCATGGGAGCATTTATTTGTCAAGCATTACATCAAACTGCAGATGCCATTTCATCATTCTTACCCTCGTTGTCAATTCGGGAGATTTTCGACTCTACGAATTTGTAATAAAAACCAGTTTGAGTGTTATATTAAAGTGGGTGAGGGGCAAGATTTGTGTGAACTTATGTTACGAACGTCATAAGCCGATTGTCACTGTCGGATGTACATTTCTTTGCTGTCTGTACCATTTGTAGTTGAGGGTTAAAAGGAATTATGGGGTTTTGACACAATTTTGTTTATTTTAAGGATATACTTCACAGAACAGAAAATGAGAGATATACTTAGTAGTTTTTCACTATTTTAGTATGAGTAAGTTTCACAAAGGTACCCTCTATAAATCCCATAGAAGAAAATGCTTTCAGTTTTTTCCGAATTGTCATATACAATGTTTTCTATAAAATACAATTCTCTTGCTCATGTATTTCTTTTTACAGAAAAGTCTATTCAAAAGTAAAATACTTGAATTATTACTGCTACATAAATGCTGTGAACTCAACGATTCAGAAGAATGCGTGCACTGTGTTCTGGTTGAACATTAAAAAGTTTCATTTTTATTAAAATAATGTATTTAGTACATCCGTTTATTTTCTTCACAAATTATGTGAAAAATAATGTAATATGCGGCTTTAAA